CTATATGCAATATTTGCCTTAACATTTCTTTGTATTTAGAAAAAGTAGTCTTATACTAAACATAATACCTAGATGTAAATGATTAACACAAGATGATGTTTATTTTACTACTGATTTCAATGTTTCCATCATGCAACACTCTTACAATATTTAAAGTATCTTAAGACAAGAAATACCTGGCTATTTTTTTTTAATAGGACTGAAGTACCATCATCAACTTCAAATTCTCCATAGTCTTTTAGACATCGCACCTGAAAGGAAAAACTACAGTTTTATCTAAATTACTTTTTAATACGTAGTGATGATAAAGTAAATAAGGATTATACAAATACCCACACAGTCCAGGTATTAGATTTTTTGCTGATTTGTTCCTTTTCTGTGTTCTTAGGCCTAGTACTCCTACTGTGGTATTCTAGTGGTTCCAACTGTCTTGTTTTAATGGGGAGGAAGAAGAAAGGCAAAATCTCGGAATGTATGTGTATATTGCTCTGACAGTAAGAAAACCCAGGGAGCCACTAAGGGGAGACATCATTGCATTCTTTCCCCTCTGCAAATCCTGAAATATCAAGCAGTTGCAATATAAATTTACAAAGAAAAGAGAATGTTTTCTATTTTTTTATTTTTTTCATGGTCAGGTGGGATTTATTCCAGGAGAAAAGAGAATGTTTTAGATCTACTCCAACCTGCCTCTTATAAATCCCTCACATGAAATATCAATATGCGAATAGGACACAGGTAAGTCTGCAAAATTTCTGTTCTAAAAAGATTTTTCTAATCTCCTTTGATATTTAGACTCTTTCCCAGAAATATTTAGAAGTATACCATGAAAGAGCAGATGCAAACTCATAAGAATCAGGAGAGGTTTTCAGTCGGAAGGTGGGAGGGAAAAGGCAGCCTTTTGATAACCACTTCTGCAACTGCAAAAAAGAAATGTCCCTAGAGAGAAGGTTGGCTATAGCTCCAACTGTTGTCACAGGAAACCATGATGTTTTTTCATCTTCTACGAGAACTCAGGACTGGAGTTATTCTCCTGAGTACTAGGATTGGTACTAGTAAAGCTAACTCCAGCGGCAAGTTTCAGTCATCTAGTTTTCCTTGGTAATTTCATTATGTCCTATAATTCCTCTGGATTCTTACCATGACTCCCCAAGGTATTTTAACTTAGTTTGAGAAATACTGTTTCCGAAAAATCCCTACCACACTACCACCTTTTATTTCTTTAAACATATTATGGAAAATCTTGAACATATTCAAAAGTAAATATAATGAAACTCAATGTCCCATCAACTGGCTTCCACAATTATCAGTATCTGGCCAATCTTGTTCCCTAGATTCTAGATTTTGAAGCAAATCCTAAATATGATACCATCTATAAATATTTTAGTATCTACTTCTACAAAATAAGATTCTTTTTAAAAAATATAATCTTAATACCATTATTGCATCTTATTAATTTTAAATTATGAAATATCCAGTTAGTATCCAAATTTCCCCATTCATCTTATAAATTTTTTTTAAAGTTGCCATGTTCAAATCAGAGTCCAACAAAAGCTGCACATTCCCAAGTTTCTGAAGTGTCTCTAAGTCTCTTTTAATCTAGNATAATTGAAGGTAGGGCAATACTGATAAAAAGCATCATCAAGGCAAAGGCTTTACATAGTCCACACAGGAAAGATCAATTGTCTAGCACAGAAACAGATGGAGGAGGGACTCTGCTGGGTTTCTGCCTGCCCCAGCCCTACCCAGGTACTCCCTGACACTGAGGAATCACTGTCGGGGCACATCAGGTGGGAAGATCAGCTATAAGGCTTGAGAAAGAAATTCAACCACAGGACAGTGTTTAGGAAGAAGTGACATTTTCTCATATCTTGCTTTATGAGGATAGCTTTGTTCCTGTGAACCAAAGCGTCACACTGGGTCCTCAAGAAATACAGATTTTTATGAGCATTAATTTATTAATATTAGTATTGGCTCATTAGTATTATTCAACTAAGTATACTGCTTCTAAGAGGACAGTAGGAGGGAAATTTTGCCTTATCAATCAAAGATCTTAGGGTACCCTAGGAAATCTGTCTTTAAAATAATCAACCTTTTATTTTTTTAGGAAATTACTCAAAACTCTAAGGGTACTTGAATAAAATATGAAGTCATCCTCTTTTAGGAAAATAAGCCCAAGAACCATATGACCTGAAGCATTCTTTTGTTCCAAGGCATAAACAAAGACACTAACTGGTTGATAACAAGATGGGAGGCACAGAGAGAGAGTGGTTTTCATTAGGTTATTTTTCCTCCTGTATTAATGTGACTACAAACAATTAAGATGGGATAAAAATAAATTTAGCTAATGTGAATTAAGCTAATGTGTACTTGAAGATTTCTAAGGAAACAATAAAGACCGGGAATGCCAAAAAAATTATACACATTTTAAGAGATGTTATCTATGTATGAGTATTTGAAGTTGAATTGAATTACAGTAGCAATGTGTAGTATGA